GTTAGCGCAGCTAATGTTGTTCTGTTCTTCTTTCTCGTTTTTAGCCAAAATGGCCGTTTCTGACGTTTCTCAGAAATATGACGTCATAATTCGAATTTTTGAAATTTTAAAATACCAGAATATTCTAGCCCTCACTGTTTTGGCCAATCGTTGTGACATTCGACCAGAATGGCCAAAATGCAATTTATGCAGGATTCGAATTTTGAGCAGTAAGCCTTCCGAGTTGATGATTTCGAAGGATTAGCGACGTTATTGGAACGTTTAGCCAAACGGTGAGGGCTAGAATATTCTAGTATTTTAAATTTTCAAAAATTCGAATGATGACGTCACATTTCTGAGAAATGCTGAAACGGCCATTTTAACAAAAAGCGAGTGAAAAACAGAACAACTTTTATCTGTGATTGCGAACAGAACGAAAATCGAGATTAAAGAAAAACGACAACGAACTACAGAATAGCAGAGAACGTTCCAAGTTGCAACTATTGTGCTGCTACAATAGTTGCAAGGCCGTTGCCAACAACGGTGAAGGGTGAGAACCAGCCTTCCGGATTGGTGTGAAATTGAACTTAAGGAGCTTGATTCACTGGATTCAAGAATCCGGAAGGGTTTCGGGACTGGAACTTTTAGCCTTTTATATAAACTTTTAGCTTCTTGTCATGTCCTGAATTGAATTTAATTAACAACTGGATTCGTTTTGATAAGGATGAGAAGCTAGGAGTTGGGGGAAAGGGTTGATCCATCTTCGATGGAGATGATGATTTTTATCTACTGAACAAAAACAATAGTAATATAATAAGTAGTAGCCCTGTTTTTAGGAGTGACCTCGTGGTCTGGGGATACAGAGACCCAGCCATGAGCTCACTATTTTTGCATGTAATTCAGTTAATTTGAGCGTTCTGGTCGAAGCCGGAGAACAGTAACGTTTTTGTCGACTCGATGTAAGAAAGACCACCGAAAAGTACTGGCTTGGTAGAGACGGTGAAAAACATGCAAAGCTCTGTTTAGACGCTAGCCAGTCGTCTTAAGACTTAGTTTTGTTATCCGTCGATATGTATCTTCCGGGCGAATGTTACATGTATGTTTTTATGTATTTCCAGGTTACTTGGTATTAGGTAGCGATCAGGCGGTACCTAACATTTTCCGTCGATATGTATCTTCCGGGCGAATGTTACACGTTCCAATAACGTTCTTAATTCTTAATAATCACCAATCCGGAAGGCTTGCTGCTAAAAATTCGAATTCTGCAGAGATTGCATTTTTCACATTCTGGTCGAATGTCACAGAACATCACTTTTAATGTTCTGTAAGCAACTTTCATTGTAGTTGCAAGGGAAAGTACTCTTCATTCTTTTTTCAAGGTGGACTGAACAGATTTTTTTCGGTTCAAGTGCTTTCTGCTCAAAGATTGTAAGCTTAGCTGCCCTGTCACTGATTTTTCTTGTGCTGTATAAACAACTTTCGTTGAAGTAGCAAGTGTAACTTATTGTTGTTTAATGTGGACTTCAAACTTTATGGTGTAAAATCAAAAAATTTGTGGCTTTTTTTCTTAAGTTGTGTTCCGTTTTTGCTGATTTAAAATTCAAGTGTCTGGCCTTTTTACGTGGAATGACCCTCTAACG